TCAAAATTTAGTTTAGAGATCATAATGTGTAGCTGACAGAGCAGCCTGTATCACCTTCTCATATTAGTCATTTAAAAGTGCTCTCCCTCCCCCCATCAAATGTTTTGTCAATGATCATGTTATTCTTTGGTGTGAGTGTGTGCGTGTCTGTGTCTGTGTTTGCCCTGAGCCTTCAAGGGTGTATCTCGCCTTGTACCCATTGCTTGCAGAGGTAGGCTCCAGCTCCCTTGCGGCCCTAAATTGGATGAAGCGGTTGGAAAATAGATGTTGTGCTTTGGCATATTTTATTTCATCCATAGAGGTATGTTACCTGGGCTGCACATTGGATATTTTCTACCCCACGGCTACAATACCTGTCTGGAGCGAATGTTGAAAGAGTTGAATTGGGGGCTTAAATCTTCAATCCTTTGGTTCTTTAGTGACGTAACACTGTGGGACTTTAATTCTGCGTCTTTTTTTAATGAGAAGGACGTTTTTGGCGTGTCACACACTCTGGCTATGTGTTCTGAATGAGCCCTTACAATGTGGATTTGATTAATCTTAAACACGTTGGTAATATACAGTATTAAAATGATTTATTTTGTCTGAGGTGATCAGAGCGGCACAGGGATGCAATAGTTAGCATTGCTACTGTACCTCACAGCCCTAGGGCCCCTGGTTTAGTTGATGATGTGCTACAGTATCTGTGTGGAGTTTGTTTGTTCTACCTACTGTATCTTTGCATGGGTTTCCTCTGGGTTGTGCGGTTTCCTACCACAATCCAAAGACATGCTGGAAGGTTAATCAGCTTCTGCAAAAACTGGTTCCGGGTGTGACTGTGTGTGTTTGTATTGGTATGTGCCCTGCTTTGGACTTAGTCCCATCCAGGTTGTATCTTGCCTTCAGTGTGTTGATTGCCGAGTTAGACTGGGGCTCCCCCCGTGACCCAGTACTTGATAAATAGATGAGAAAATGGATGGATGCATATGGTCATTCATAAATAACTAAGTGCAATATTTTGGACTGTGCTCTCTTGTTTTTTCATGTTTTACTGTTTACTGTATAAATTGTTAGGGATCATCTTCCTAATTGTTTGTTTCATTTTGCTCCTACAATATGGCACCTAACTTACCTGATTCTTACTTTCTTATCACAATTTCAGTTCACATGCTTTGTCTTGAGAATATTTCTATTTCGTATGCTTAAGCAATACCACTGATTATTCTTTCTCCACAACACCCACCACCCTATCTCTAGATTATGACTTATTTCCCTGCTGTGTTAAATACTCACTAACAGCTGTGACAAGGATCACAATCAGAAGAAATATGACTGCACTATTAAAGAAATAAACGTTTCATTTTAAAACTGTATTAAGTGTTGGACCCATTTTTCTCATCTGTTTTTGTTTCATTTTGGTATTAATAATGTAGTTAAGATAAGAGCATAGCACTAACTTCACAACAGATAAGATAGAGGATGAAGCATCAGATCCTTATAATGACATTTTAGTAGGAAAAATGGAAATAAGGGGGAAAAAAATCACACATACAATTAGCATAAATTCCTTGCACCCGCAAACACTATATATTGCCTTTGTTCCAAACAGGTGCAGCATTTTGTAATCAATCCCATGTTCACTGTGTAATTTACCAAGAATGGGAGGCAGACAGAGCAGAAAAGGAAAGGGTTGTCCTTTGGAAAAAAGGTTGAATTAAGCCCTTTCTGTTGATAGTTTTGTTCTACATCACTCGGTTCATGTCCCTCTATCATTATTGTGATTGATTCCCGGCAACAGTGGATTGGTTTAAAAGATTGATTTGTTGCAGATGGAAATCTGCAGGGTTTTGGTTTGACACATCAGCACACTGTCCTCATTAAACGCTCCTATTGATGGACGAAGAATGGTTGATTTTGTCCGAAGCATCTGCCCCCACACTGTGAGGCAGTGGAAGAATAAAGTAGTTAATAAATTATAAAGAAGAAAAAAAACTAATCCAGTAATGCAGAAGTAAAATACCATAAATATTTTTATTTTTAAAATATACATTTAAATATATTGTGCAATCCCTAAGATATATTATTATTTCTCTATGTTGGCTAAAATATTCTTGTCCGATGGCTAGCTTCTCTTTAAACCATACTGATTTATACAGTACTCCATTACTGCAGCAAAGTCAATTGTGTCCCTGCTATCAATTATGATGTTTATTTCTGTCAAGATTACATCTCATTACAAAGATTTTTAAGTTCTACAATTAGTTTTGCATAGTATTTAATGAATTAATAATATTTCTTCTCACTTTAGATCATTCAACATAAATGATGTGAATACTATTTTGTCATGCTTTTAAACTGTTTCATTTGTCTATATTGTGAATAAGACCAGTGTCTGGGGACGCTTTGTAAACCTTCATAGAGTTGTATTCAATTAGATTGCAAAAATTTAAAATCTAAGACATAAAAGACCAAATACCTAAATTAGAGTATGAAAGTGTAATTGGTATTTTATTTCTACACGCCTGTCTCTCTTGATTTATTGTACAATGACATGAAAGGAGCTATTGAAAATAGTAATAGTTATTATCATGTGCTGTTAAAAGCCTTCAAAGTAAATTCTGAGAATTACAAAAATGCTAAATATTTTTTACTGTTTTTATATATTTATATATTGTCTTCAGAGGTTGTATCGGTATCCATTTCAGACCCAGTCCCTGGAGTGACCCTTAGGAGGATTAATATAAAATTGGAGTTGTCCTAAAGAACAAACAGAAGGAAAATGATGGCTGGTACTGACTTGTATGTTAAGAGACCATTTGAACATTTACTCTGTGTTGAGCAAATTTCAGTGGTCATGCACACAAATGCATGTTTGAAGACATCAGCAAATCTTTTCTTTTTCTATAACACTTGTTAACACTTTCAGGAAATGGATAAAGCACTAGAGCAAACTTCTTAGAAAAAATGTGACTAAAATTATTATTAAGCTTTTGTATTTCTTGTGTATGATAGTCTAAATTTAGCTTGCTACGCATATTTTATGTCATAAAATGAGGCTACATACTGTACCTGTTTTAGGAACAGCAGTAACACAGTAGTCAGCATGTTTTCTCATTTAAGCTTTTCAGGTTACACCTAACTTAAATTATACTGATGAGAGTTTGTATACATATTGAAGATGCATACATCTGGAAATAACATCACACAGACTAGAAAGGGGTACTACATAACATTAAGCAATCCTGGAGGGTATTGTTTCTTTGTTGTAAGACATGTGCCCAAAGCTTAACAGTGCAAGATGAAGGTGCATTTTTTATTTACTTTCCTTTTCTGGTATTGCTACAATACTTGCCTCTCTCTCATGGAGTCTGCTGAACTTTGTGTTCTGAATAAGCTTGCAAAATTCACATCTTCAAGATATTCTGTCCCTTAGAGTTTTTAGTTATAAAAATTAATGAGGACATTTGCATACTTTTTCTTTCTAGAAGTGAGGGGACTACAAAGTGTAAGGAAAGGGTTTAGAATTCTAAACAATATGGTAAATATTTAATGTATAGCAATACTATTGAAACACTTGGAAAATGAATTACCATCAAGACGTCTTTAATGACATTTCCCCTAAACATGCAAGGGCTAGCAGAAAATACACAAGTGAAGGTCACATTTGCAAGTATTATAAGGTAGCTTTTAATTAGGATCTTGTAAATGTCAATGAACCTTTTCAACTGGCCCAAGTGCTAGTCTGGAAAATGAAAAGAAAAAGACATATGCAGCCTAGAAATTGATCCCCATTTAGCAGGGGTTAGCCTCTATTTCCTCTAAAGCCAAAATATAAATGATGTTTTCTGTTGAACAGAGAAGACCCTTAAAAAATGCTTGCTTTTACCTATGGTGTAGTGTATTTAAAGTTGTTCACTTGGGGATTAAATTGGCTAGTAGGTTTGATGTAGTACCATCTGAAGCTGTTAAAGTGTAAGATTGACACACAGAGGTATCAACAGACAAGTTTATTAAGACAAGTAAAGAGCTTTTTTGTTGGAGCAACTTCCCTTCATAAACTTTATGGCAGTAATTTCTCCTTTGAACTCCTGTTTGTAATATCAGTAGAAGCTACAAAGTTCCATTTCAGGAAGACAGATTTTAGATTGTTAACTCAGTCTGCTCAAAACACATTTTTTTGTCAGTAGAAGCTACAAAGTCCACCTAGTCTCCCATTTCTGGAAGACAGATTTTAGACGGTTAACTCAAAACAAATTTTTAATTAAACTAATTATATAAATGTGGAAACTTTATGCCTCACATCACAATTTTTCAACCTGTGAAACGTGTTATGAAAATAAAGCATCTGACCTAGAAGATAAACTTAAGCTGGTTATATCAACATGGCATGGCATGAACTGCAGGCTCACTCTCCCATTTCTATATCAGCATATCAGACCATAAAATAATTTAAAATTATTTTGAGTGCCTTGATAAGATAGAATGAATGTTAATTAAAAATGTATTAAACTAAGTTTTCTAAAGTACAGTATAGGCTTACTACATATTTACACAAATAGAATGTGTGGCTATATTAACGTTTCATGTTTACACCCTAAATCTAACCACTTCCTCCCCTGTCATCGGTAATGTCTTCTCTATTCATTCCCTGCCTTAGGGGGTGGCACGCATGGTTAGACAAGCTCCTCATGGCTCCAGGGTCTTGTGTTCAATTACAGCTTGGGGTGCCTGTCTATGAGTTTGTATGTTTTACTCATGTTCATTTGGGTTTTCATTGAAGACTCCAGTGCCCCCCCGGCGTCTCTCAAAGGCATGCAAGTAAGACTTGATTGGCATCTCTAAAAAATCCCTTTGCAGTAGATACAGTATTATGGAATGTGATCTGTGGCCTTTGATCAGTTTAACAAATCACAAAGTGAAAGGTATTATTTGGGCACAACCTAATTACAGTAGGTTTGCATTAGAATTATAATCTGTGACAATGCTTACATTTTCTTTGTCATTTTTTTTTTCTTCTTCAGAAATTTCTAAAGCTATTGCTGGGCGGCCTGTTTCATATGCTGCTATTTTAAGAATTAAGCCGGACAGCTCATCATCATCTCTGCTCAGTTCAAAGAACAGACCCAGATACAGCCATTCCAGTAGTGGGTCCTCAAAATTGCACGAATGGCCAGACTTTTCCCATCAATACCTGGCATCAAGGAGTATCTTTAGTTCAACTGAGAGTTTCAGGAAAGGTGGTAAGACGTATTTATTTTTTTAAGAAGTTTGTTTAATCTGGTGAAAATTTGTTCCAGATAGCTATGCCTTTAGGAGCTCATCTAACATAATCCTGAATAGAACATGTATTCATATACTGTTTATACAGTAGTGTTTTTTACAAATACTGTATAATCCACAGACTACTATATATCCTACATGCATCCATAAATGAGTCTTTACCTAAATATATAATTCTATTCATCTGAAAAAATTACAGGCAGAGATTGTGTTTAAAAAAGGAGTATTGTGGGTATTAAAATAGTTTAATATAAATTTCATAAATATATTGGTTTCAGAAATACAATGCAGCATGTTGTACAGATTTGGCAAGCATAGCTCTTAGTCCATTCTCTCTTCAGCTTACCTACTAAGTGGTTATTTCTTTATTTCTCTTCAGGCAACTCTTATTTGTCTGGTAGACAATTAAAGGTAATTAATAATTACTAGCCTTTGTATTCTCACTATGGTACTACAATTGTGAATGAAGTGGGTATCATCCTACACTGTAGGTGCAGCACCTTCCTTGTTGGCATGTGACAAGTGATCACTACAGATCAGGTGGAAAAGTGAGAAATTACTTCACCAGAGGAATTAAGGTGAACTTTAGGAAAGCCAGATTATGCACATCTGGAGTGAATTTTAGCTGCCAGAACACTTGGTTTAACAACTTTACTGTACTTTAAAGAACAATGAGATGCAAATCCAAGAATTTAGGTCATGGTTGATAGTAATTACAGTACTTTTCCTATCCAACCTCTTAAGTCATAAAAAAGGACTTAACCAACACATATAAATTAATTAACCTAGCTGATTAAGTGCTTAGTTAGAAGGAAAACCATAACAAATGTGTCCAGGATCAGGAAGAAACATTTTATGACTGCAGGTGTTTGCAATTTAATACGGCAACTCTTATACAGTACCTGCCACAATGCTCACAGCAGCTCAGCAGTTCTGGCACATACTGCAGTTTTTCTGTCTGTTTTAAAGTGCTCATATAAATATTGGGAAAATAACATTTTAAAACATGTGAGTTTTATGAAGAATTGAGAGTGGGTTAAAAATGCTGAGACAGAACCCATGAGGAATCGAACCATGCTGAAAACGAAGCCTGCCGTTGCTTTTGAAACTGTGTTGGTTGTAGAACCAGAACTCCTAACTAGTAGAGCTGCTTACCATAAAGTTCAAAATAACCTGAAAAGAAAGCAGAATTCAAAATATACTTAATTATTAAAACCATAACATGGTGAAAAAAAGTTAATACTGTACACACACAAAAATCAGTTGGCCACTATTATTTATAAAGCCATTCATCCATTGTGTTTCTGGCAGAAGTGATTTTATTAACCTCTTTGGCTCTTTTTTTTCCAGAATGTTCTAGTGTGTACTGTAGGATAGTTTTTTTAGACATTCTCAGTTACAGTAATCATAGAAGTCTTGATTTTGATAAACTGCCCAGCTATTAGAGTGTGATAAAGAGCTTCCATAATCTTCTATCAAAGATCTGGCACTGTGATCAATAGATAAGGGAATTTCCTAGTACCATAGGAAAAGGAATAGCATATTTCTAGATTCTGTTTTTGATATTCACATGGAGCACATTTGTTAAAGCTTTGGGTAAAGTGGTTATACATTATTTTCATTGGTAATGGTGGTGATACTCATTTCATAGAATGGATGATGATGTTGTAGCATAATTAATTTATTCAATTTTAAGCCTCAAGCCTAATATTATTCCTTGTATTATTTCCCTGTTACTTTTACAAAGGAAATAGAACATGTGCATCATTTTCGGTAGGGTAAGCACGTTTGTATGATTCTATATACTGTATATTTAAGTAACCTATTACACCAGAAAACTGTGGAATTTTGTTATCCAGCTGAAGAGTTGGAGAATGGAGTAATGTCTTTAGTGTTTGAATATCAACTGCCCTTTATGCAGGACATAAGGTAGTGGTGTTCTCATCATTTAAAAATCCCCTGGCTCTTGTCAATACAGATACAAGAGTTTTAATGGATACATTTGTTAAAAAGGGAGATTCATTTTCACAACCCAGCAGGGGAACATCAATGACTGCTACTCTTATTAATAAATCATTTCACACAATGGCCAGTGCTTGTCAAAACTATTCCCAAACCAGCATTAATGTGGGTTTTTTAAAAAAAAGATTAAATGTGACACCAGACATAGTCACTTAAGAATCTGTCTCAGATTGCATACTCTTACCTCTGTAGACCTTGGTTGCACTTCTGGGGAAATAAGAGTCAATTCTATAAAGATCAGCATTTGTTCATATTGAGTGCTTATTCTCTTGCCTTAGGTGATGTCTTCCACTTTCTTAAAGGGCATCATTGGCTGTGATTTGGAATGCTCCATTTGAATGATGACGTGCACTGGACATTAAGATGTAGCAAATGTTTCATCACTGTTTCAACTCTCTTTCCACCCAATATACTGTATGTGGTCAGTGAAAACTCTCGAGGTTTAGTCTGGACAACACCATCTGGTGGTTTATCTATAGGGTTGAGCACAGATTTAGAAACTACCTTGTTCTAAAAGGAGCTAAAAGATCAATAAAGCCTAAGTCATCTGATGCAAGAATACATATCCTGTACATTTTTTATGCAAATTCAACAAATTCCTATCATTGTCCTCCACACACACCAGCATTAAAGGCTTATTTAAAATATACAGTATAACCCTCTTTTGTTCAATTGAGAAGTCTGGAGGATTTCATCCAAATACTTTAATAGCAGGATAACATAGGTTTTATTTTTAAAATATATACAGTAGGCTTTGTTTAAAATGCTCAAAATAGTTATTATTTTTTATGCAAAGCAATGAAAATAATGAAAGGTCAGGTTCTGCGGTATGATTAAATCTTGATTTAGGAAAGATCTTCTCTGGCCTACATGGTACAGTATATAGTGGATTTTTAAAAACAGAAGTATAATTCCTTGATGATATAGCACCCTTTTGAAAATCTTGCATAATTCATTACTAAAATTGATTTTTTTTTCAGAGTGATTCTCTAGCCTGAGTACACAGGGTCATTATAGCACAGTGTTCTGTGTTCATTTGTCCCATAACAATAAATCCTAGTGAGGTATTTTTTTACTTTCTTTGTTATCTCTTCAGTCACTGTACGTGTTGCTTTGGACTCTTCACTGATGTGTGTGCAACCTTGATGTTCTGCCAGAACAATTGTAGCAAATGAAATTATTTTTTATTTTGATTTCAGAGAATGTTAACTGCAAGGGATCACACACTGTAACTTGTTGGTTGCATTGCTTTCATCCTATTTTTAAACAATCTATTTAGCATCTAATAAACAATAGGAAAACAGCTCTTATCTTACAATAATATGTATGATTTTCTTCACGGAGGGTGATATTATAGTGTATAGAAGCATTTGGCTATAAAATTGAATTGCTACATACATCAATAGTGATCAAGAAACTGAGAAAGCGTTTGGTCTAGCATATACAGTAGTATGTAAAAGCTGTGTGCCTCTTTTATAGCCTGATTGTATATTATCCCAAAGCTGTAATAAGTAGCTCTGCCCCCACAGTTTCTCTCTGCCTCCTGCAGTGGTGCGAGAGTTGCCAAGTATATCTTTCTGCACTTGCAAAGAATAGATAAATTAATTAGGAGCCTTGGGCACAATAATTTATCTGGAGAGGTGAGGTGTTTTCCAGTAGCTTTGTTGAACAAAGGTGGCTGCAGAGACAACTAACTGAAAATTTCACAGCCCAGTTGAAACTTCAGTTTGTCTTCAACATAGAGCGCAAGAAGTAAATGCTGGTACAAAGAGCCTTGAGGGTTAAAAGAATATTAGATAAATGTTTGGATCTGTCCCTCAAGTACTTGGTGAAGGATAAAATACTGTAGTCTCTCATAAGTGGTTGAACTTTGACTGGCCATATGGGTTGTTTTGGTCTTTAGTTATTTGTAAACCACCTTGTATCTCTATTTATTTCATCCTTTTTAATTGTTTTCAAGTCTAATTACTACATATTTTTATTTACAAAGATGACCTGGAGACCCATTTATACAGCAGGGCTATTAGTGAAAAGATTGGAGTGAGGTACCTTGCTCAAGGATACAACAGAAGCATCCCACCTAGGATAGCAGTAGATCTGTCCCTCAGGCACTTGTTCAAAGATGAAACAGTATCTCATATCTGGATGAACTTTGATGAGCTACTGTATACGAGTTTATTTTGGTCTTTATTTATTAGTTGACTTCTTTGGAGTATTATTATTTTTTATTGTTTTTACAGTGACTATGATCAGCACATTTTGCACACACCTACAGAATGTATTTATTTATTTTTATTTATTTTGTTGTCTTTTGTTTTATAACTATTCTGATGTCTGTTTTGCTTGTCTTGGGCTGGACTACTGTAACACATCAATTTCCCTACAGGATTAATAAAGTATTATCTATCTACTGTATCTATCTATTCAAACTCTTTCAAACACTTAGTGCAAAAGAGTATATTGTGCCACCACTGATTCCATTCCCAATTGCTTCACAGAAAAAAATGACATTAGTATGTTGCAGATGATGGATCAAGTAAGACAGAAAACAAGAAGCACCAGCCTAACATGGTGGTATGATCTCTGTAAAAATCTTTTTAACAAGCTTGAATACAAGCATAGATCACTCACTAGATCATATGAAATGTACACTGACTAAGGTGAAAGTAGATGCTGAATCAGGGCCTTCGGTGTGCCTGCTGAATTGCAATGTTACTGTCAAATAAATTATTAAAGTGACATTATTAAACTGTAAAATAAAGTACAAACCAGTACCACATACCGATAATGTGATCTGTGCTTCTTAATTTACAACAGTAATATAGTGCATATAAAAAAGTGATTTCATCTGAAATGACAGTTCCAAAGTTTTTTTTACTTTAAAGGGCTTTTTGACATCGTCGTGAAAAGAACTGGTTACAGCAGTATGAACTGAAAA